AAAAAAAAAAAAAAATACTCGAACATATCTTTTTTTTTTTATTAATTTTAATTTTTTTCTTCTTTCATTCCACATCTTTCCTTTAAAAATAAACGATAAACGATATGAATATGAATATGAATATATATATACATACATATATATTTTATAAGAACGATTGAAATTGAGATATAATTAAAATTAATCAAATTGATAAATGATCTCTTTCTCGCTTTAACGTAAAAAAAAAAAAAAAAAATCCAAAAAAGTAAAAAATACACGGCCATCGCGAAGATTTCTTCTGACTCATCCTATCCAAATTTTTCTTCAAATATTTCAAAAAAAAAAAAAAGAAAAAGAATAAATGAAAAAGAGATTTATATATATATATATATATATATATAAAATATGAAGTTAAAGTTATAGTTCACTTTGTATATTTTTTTTATTTTTTATTTTTATTAAAATCTTTAGAGTATCTATAGAAAGATCAAAAACAATATTATCTTGCAAAATAATATGATCTCTCTTAGGAATGAAAGAGAAAGAGATATTAAGATGCATCGATGCAGTATAAGGAATTCTTCTTTGAACGATACTACGTCACAAAATCAAGAAACAAATAAAAAATTAAATAACAAATAAATATAAATATTTGGTTTTTGATACAAGCAATAATTTGGGAACCCGACGGATGATGCACACGATTGTATGCGTAAATATGTATATATATATACTGTATATATATATATACTATTTTATTTGTAAATACACGCAATCCACTATTACACACTTCACAATTACACGTAAAACCCTGACGTGTTGCCATTTTGATTAATGCTATTAGATTAAAATTAGAAAATCTTTGAAAAAAGGGGGGTAGGTAGGTAGATATAAGGGGGGTTAAAATTTTGTCTTCACCGAACAACCAACCAATCAACCAACACCAACCAATCAACCAACCAACAGCATCGCACAGTGCGGCCAAAGCCCCGATGATTATGCGACCAAAAATTCGAAAATTTAAGAAAACGATCTGCAATTTCGTATTAGGAGGATTTTTGGGACCGCTGATTACAAATTCGTTATCAGAATTAACAAATGCATCATCGTCAACATTTTCAGGAATGCGAAAGTGTGATTATTTGCATTTCCGGCGGCCGCGGTCCCCGTGTGTGCGGTCTCCGTGTTGTGATCTTTTGTTTTCTCTTGTTTTTTCTTTGTTTCTTGTTTTACAATGAGAATGACTACACCACCGCACGTGTATCTCGGTTACTACTTTTTATTTTGTTTTCTTCGATATATCGCTCTCGAAAGTGAAAAAGAAAAGAAAATAAATGAAAAGAACTGAACTGATTCTGTGATTAAGTGTGCGACTATGTTTCATTAAAGTAAGAGAAGACAAAGGAAGGATCAGGATAATACAACTGCGTGTTTTTGATGATAAAAGTGTGAAGAAAACGTGTTAAAAGGATTTTGCCGAAATGGAAGATTATGGAAGGCATCGCAAATTTTTGTTAATTACAATATTTCTAATCAAAGTATCGATCATTATACCTTGCTTGCACATGCATCTAATTCTCTTTCTTATGTATATACATATATATATACATACATATTATATAAGGTGGACCAGAAAAAGTAATAGTAGCTTTTTAATCACAAAATTCAAACAAATATATATATGTATATCCTAATCGGGATTGCTATTATTTGAAAAAAAAAAATGTTCACATATTATTTACACAGATTACATTTAGTCTCTTTTTCATTGATTCTTTTTTTATTATTTATTATTTATTATTTATTATTATTATTATTATAATTGGCATAATTTTTAAAAATGTGATTATTTATTCGTAAATTCGTATACTTTCGTAGGAGTTATCGAGCGAGCCTTGCTCCCTATCATTATAATCGTCAGGAACATATGCAACGTGGAATTGCTCTCTCTACATCGCTAGAAATTTAAGTTTTAATTTCTACCACCACCACCACCACCACCACCACCACGATCACCACCAAAAAAAAAAACACACGAATACATACGAACAACAACATCTCACCACGAACCACCACCTACTACCACGTTTGAAAAACACATAAGAAGAAGTACTACCTATCATCCATCAGAGGCCATAAATAAACAGAAAGAAAAAAAAGACAGTTCAATCAGTCAATTGTTTAAACAAAAACAAAATAGGTAAATTAACTACATTGTAATAATAAATTTTCATGCTCATATATATCATTTAATAATACTTTCGTAAGTATTTGATATATAATTCTTAACAAATGATTCATTGAAAATAAGAATTGAAATTGAAAGTAATGTCAATTGACCATGAAAATTTCTTAACTATCATAATAATAATAATAATTTCATTCTTTTTAATATTTAATAATCAAATATTAAACAATAGAAAGAAGAGAAAAGACGACAAGTGCAAGTAAACAATTTTTTTAAATATAATTAATGAATTAAATTGAAAGGGAAAAAAAAAACAAACAAACAAAATAGAAAAATAAATAATAATATGTTTAAAGAACGTGTGATAAATATTATATACATATACATACATAAATACAAATGAACACACATAATTATGTAATATATATGTATATATATGTTATATATATATTATATATAATTATATATATTATATAGTATTTTTTAGATCATACTTCTTGCATAAACATAGTTTTTTTCCCCGTGGTACACAGATCGATGCTGTGCAGCTGTTAAAGCTGCTTGCTGTAATTATTATTCAGTTTGTGATAATAGCTCGAAATAAGTGTATCACGATTAGTTCCTTTGTATACTTGTGCATATATTATACATATATATATTATATATATATATCATATATATTATATTATAATAATATAATATATAAATATATATATATGTATATATATGTATACCTACATTTATAAGATGTTAATAATTTGCGTTAATATTAATACTCTCTCTCTCTCTCTCTCTCTCTCTCTCTCTCTCTCTCTCTCTCTCTCTTCATCTTTCTATTAATTTTTTTGTTTTTTTTTTTCATTAAATATTCAATAATTTCACCATTAAGTTAATATTTCTATGATTTACTTTTTTTTCTTTTTTTTTTTTTTTCTTAAGTTCGTACATTATAATTTAATTTCATTTTATTTCATTTCATTTTTGTTTTCTTTTTTTCATTAATTTTGTAGTCTTTAACATTTAAGAAAGATAATACCAAAACTTCATTAAAAGAAAAAAAAGTTAATTAATTTAACGATAGTATAATCGATTTTTTTTTCTATGGTTTAATTGCAACCAAAAAAAAAAAAAGAAAAAAGGGAAAAAAAAATTTCGAAAATTCTTCATTTTCATTATTTCTTCGATTTTTTTTTCTTTTTATTATTATACTCAATATTATTATTATTATTATTATTATTATTATTATTATTATTATTATTATTATTATAACTATTATTTAATAAGTTATCATTTTTATTTTTTTCTTGTCTCTTTTTATTATTTTCATTATTATTATCATTATTATAATCATCATCATTATCATAATCAAATGTGCATTAGTTTAATGTTTTGGTTTCGTTTTGATTAATCATTTCTCCATAGAATCTCTCTAATTGTTTATAGAATTGATTATTGAATCGGTACTCGTAATCAATAAA